GCGTCCATCGCCTGGCGATGCTCTTTCAACGAGTTTTTACGTAAAAACACAAACAAAACGGCCCTTTTCAGGGCCACCACACACTCCAAAAAGAGAACTACCGTAACGAACACATTATTTCAATAAATCAAACGCATTCGTTTTTGACAAATACAACTTTATTGTTGACCTAATTCTTGGCTAAAAATCACCCTGGGCGTTTAACCGAGGATGTCCCCAACATGTAACTTTTGTGAAAACAGGGGGGTGGGCGCTTGCCCAGGGAGGGGCGCGTGCCCGGGGTAATACGGTAAATAATAATTTATCCCAGCAAATGCTTGTTCAACATTTTGCACATTTTTAGGTATTTTTTGTAAGTTCTTTGTTAACGAACATATTTTCTTATTAGCTAAAAGCTCTGATCAATTTTTTTTGAAAGATCCGGATAAAAATAATACATGCTTAGTTTCAGAAAAGCGACAAACATTGACTTTGGCATCGAAAAAGGTCAAAACATGGCATAAACTGTATGACAACTCACACTTCTACATTTGAATTTGTCCAATGGAGACAGATTACAGATCCCAGTCATCATAGCAGAGATTACATTGTACATGTTTGCATATAGCTCCTACACAAACACACAAAGTCCAAGCCCTTTTTTTTTTATCACCTCTTGATTACAATATATTCTAAAAACTTAATACCTTCTTTCCCTTTGCTTTATCTTTTATAATTATTTCATCAGAGATCTCGGTTATAATTTCTTTTTCTTTTACTGGAAACCTTGGTGGGTATCCAAAGTCATTCATTTCTCGATTTAATTTATCAGCACACGCCTACAATGTATGGATAAAAAAAAAACAGAACATTAAAGTCTGAACCTTGAACTTACATGCAAGATGGAATGATAAGTATAAATAATGTCATTTTCTTTTATTTTTACATACAAGACTTTTACATCACAAAGCCGAAATAAATATGGGTTCACCATAAATGGTTCAGAGGAAAATGTTTTCTATGGCAAAGATAACAGTATCAATATCTCATTACTTTGTATAGAGACATATACCGGCAGTGAAAAAATAATGTATTAATTATTAAGTTCAAATAATTATCACATTAGGATCACATAATTACCGGTATCACACTTGTTGCATGTTCATTGCTTTAGTGTCACATGTTCATTGCATTAGGGTCACATGTTCATTGCATTAGGGTCACATGTTCACTGCATTAGGGTCATATGTTAATCACATTAGGGTCACATGTTCATCGCATTAGGGTCACATGTTCATTGCATTAGGGTCACAGGTTCATTGCATTAGGGTCACAGGTTCATTGCATTAGGGTCACAGGTTCATTGCATTAGGGTCACATGTTCATTGCATAAGGGTCACATGTTCATCTCAATACTATACATTTTCATGGGAATCGATATTGTTCATTTTATTTGAAAACTAAACCTACCTTGATTGGCATTCCTGTACAGTGGAAACCAAATGGAAATAGACATCTTTTACCTTTTAAACGTTGATATCCAATAGCAAACTGTGCATTTAATCAGCATCAACAAGAGAAAGATATCATAACATTTATAAAAGCATAAAAATTATTTCCAGAAAGTTCAATTGGTTTTGAAAAGTTACCGCTTTCGCTAACTGAAAAAATTGATCTGCATGTGGATTAATAATGAGTATGATAAAACAGACAGACAGACAGAGTAAAGCAATAGGCACTCACCTCACACTTAGAAAGCGAAAAAGTATGTCCAAGGTGAAGACGACCATTCATATATGGATATGGAAAACAAGCAAAATACTTTTCTTTCCTGAAAATTTTAGACAAAAATGGAAATATATTACAACTACTGGTAAACAAATTATTAACATTCAATGAAAAAGATCATTTCGAATTAAACACATTCTTTTAGAAACAACATCAGTGTTCTCCCCTATGAGTCTTTCAAACATCTCAGTCACCAGAATACATTAACGATACAAATCAATCAATAAACACCTTTTTCAAATGCAAATTAACCATAAACACCGAAAAACAGTGATAAAGTTCTACAAAGTGTGCTTATTGTCAAAATAAATCATAAGCCATTGGTTAATGTACTAGTACTCATGACATTAGTCTGCATCCAAGGTATATAAAGTTTTCAGAATTTGTTAATAATTTGTGACAGAAAGTTAATTTGGGAAAAGTCTTGGTGTATAGAAAATTCCATCGGAAAATATATTTCATCTTCCATGAGATTACTATCATACAGTTCACAAATTCTGTTCATGATTGGTGTTTTGGGATGTATATATCTTCCTCTTTTAACATACCAATCTTGGTTGCTGGTCCTAAGTTTGGCCTTACTAATTCTATGTTCTATAATCTAGTTGTTATTGAACCATCCAGGAGCTAAGTGGCCATAAAATAATTACACATACACCCACATGGATTCATTATTTAATCTCACATGCTGAGAGACTCGCTATTTACTTACTTTGATTGGCAGAAGTTTTCTGGAGCATCTTGTTCGAATGTCTTTTC